GTAAACTGGGTCATATAATCACCTGCTTAATCAGACCAGAAAACACAATTAAAGTAAGGGTATAACAAGCTGGAGAAATGGTAGCGCCTGACTATCAAGAACAATTTTGACAGCAGAGAGCTTAGGAAAACAGTGCTGTCTCTTTCATAAATCTATAGCTCATCACATAGGACATTTGGAGGACAGAATTGTATGCATAAAGGAGTCCTAAATGCTTTACAAATGGGGTCTCCCCACCCTGCAAGGCTAAACCACAGAATCATAAAGAAATGCAGAACTGTGACATTACTTGTCATTGTTCTATCAACTCCTTGTTGGCTAAGGCTGCCTTCTCCCTTACCCTGGGAGGAATTCAGCCTTGATTTGCATAAAAATGGAGCTCAGTAAATGCAGAGCCAATTAAAACTGAACCTCAACTATATCAAAAGAGACTCAAATCGGTACAACTTTCTATTCTATCAGAATCATCCAGTTAATCCACTTATCATATAGGGATGAACTTAGTGTACCTGTTGCTGCTTTCAGTTCTATTCAAATGATGGGATTTTTCTCACTCAATATGGCTTAAACTGCTTGAATATGTAAATAGTCCAAATCCTCCTGACAGCTTGTATGGCTGAAGCTGCTTCTCAGGCTCTATTAGAACTAAGGTAATAAAAAGAGAAGCCATTCTTTATTGCCCCAAATGACATCGAAACAGAAAACATTTATTTACAAATCTTCTGCATGCTTGCTCAGACTAAATTCTAGAGAAATGGCGATTTCAAACATTAACTTCTAAGGTAGTACAATTTCAGAAAGACAGGAGGAAGCAAACTGAAAAAAATGAATCTGTGATTTATGGGCTTGAAGATTATATAGGATAGATTATAGAAAGAAGAATGTCATGATGTAAGACACTGGATGACCAGTTGGCGGCCATGACCAGGGGGGCGTTCTATCAGGTTCGCCTGATTTACCAGTTGCGACCTTTTCTGGACCGGGACGCCCTGCGCACAGTCACTCATGCCCTCGTCACCTCCCGCCTGGACTACTGCAATGCTCTCTACATGGGGCTCCCCTTGAGGAGCACCCGGAGGCTCCAGCTAGTCCAAAATGCGGCCGCGCGGGCGGTGTTGGGNGCCAGACAGTGCCGGCTGGCGACCCCAAGGGGGAGGGCCTTCTCTGTGGGAGCTCCCACCCTCTGGAATGAACTACCCCCAGAGATCAGGGTGATCCCTGATCTCCCTTCCTTCCGCCGCGCCCTTAAGACATGGTTATTCCAGCTTGCGGGACTGGCCTAGGGGAAAATTTTTAGAGGGGGTTTTAAAATGATTTTAAATTTTTTAGACCAATTATTAATATTTGCCTTTTAATTAAGTTTTAATCTGTAGTTTTGATATTTTGTATTTTTATCTGGTTGTTAGCCACCCTGAGTCCGCAAGGAGAAGGGCGGGATATAAATATAAATAAAAAATAAATAAATAAATAAATAAATAAATATACAATAATTGTATATATAACTGTTATGGAGAATATTGGAAACCAAAAATCCTCAGTTTTATTTTCTTGAACTTTTTGTTCTTTCTCCCCCCCCCCTCGTCATTTTATATTATTCTCTATTAGTTTTTAATCTTCTTTTTTAAGATTCAATAAAAATCATATTAAAAAACAAAGAATGAAAGTAGGAAGCAGATGAGTTTATGAATCAGGAACTGAATTACAGAACTCATGCCTAAAGGAGTACACAATATATATTTCTGCCATTGTATGAAACTTATTCATGCTATGGCCATTAAAAAAAACCATACTTTATTATAGTACATCAATGGATATATCTGATCTTGTAGAATATGTGGGAAATCATTGTAAATGCATCATGTCCATTTATGTACTATGACATTTAAGATAATGATTGGAAGAAATGATCCTAAACTGATCATTGTTACAAGTATTATTTTTGATGAACTCTTTGAAAACTCTTCTGAGTTTCTGATTACTTATATCACATACAGTTCTAATATGAAATTTAGCCTTAAATTCACTTTCAGGATGGAACAGATAGTTGAAGTAGGAACAAATTCCAGTTAAGCCTTCAGTATGTATGGAAGCATGATTCCCCTGTGGAGAAATTAGGGAGACTTCTGTTTCTTGTGCTGGTCCATGTCCTCTTTTTCTTCTATTTACATACATAGAGGGAGATTTCACTCAAAATGGGAAAAATAACCTCAGGATATCTTGTTTTGACTATTCCCTCCAGTCTGAACAGAGGAGACAGGGAAGAGCTAGAAGTCTGTTAAGTCTTTTATTAAGAAGTTATCTTTATATAGGCTGTCAAAATGTGGAAAGGACGTGGATGACAGCAAAGAGATTCTGGATCTCCTTGTTGTCATCAAATGATAACACATATTTTTGGGATGGCCCTATGTTTCATGAAAAAACATAGACAAGACAAGAAACAACGGATGGAAACTAATCAAGGAGAGAAGCAACCTAGAATTAAGGAGAAACTTCTTAACAGCGAGAATAATTAAACAGTGGAACAACTTGCCATCAGAGGTTGTAGGTGCTCCATCATTGGAGGTTTTTAAGAAGAAACTAGACAGCCACTTGTCTGAAATGGTATAGGGTCTCCTGTTTGAGCAGAGGATTGGACTAGAAGACCTCCAAGGTCCCTTCCAGCTCTATTCTGATTGATGGGGACGGTAGTGGAAATTCTGACTCTTTTCAAAATGCAGGCACAAATCCAGTGGTGGTATTAAGCCGGTTCGCACCACAGGTAGCTAATTTTTTGTTGCCGAGGCCCAGAATGGACTTCCGTAAGTGGCATCCACACAGAGAACCGGTTGTTCACATATTTGAACCCCACCACTGCACATCTCCACTCTTCAAAAAGTTAATGCTGTAACAACTCGATACTATGGCTATTGTATCTGAGCTGTAAAAACCCAGATGGCCATTAGGTGGCATCAAAGAGGGAGCATTTTCTTTTTCAGTCGGTATGACAATAACAATCACCTAGCATGGTGTGGGTGTGATAAGAACAGCATTCAACGCTTCTCCTGACTTTTTAAAAACATCCCTTTCATTGTTTACAGCAAGAACACCCTTGTGGACTCTTTCAGCATGCGGCAAAAGACTCCAGGGAAAAGATCGCTCCATTTTGTACTCAGGCCCTCCTAAGCCAAGGTCACAGCATTTCCCCCACCCTCTAACTCGGAGGAAGAAACATCCAGCAGAATCCTTACCTTCTTGCTTAGGTCTGAGAGCATTTCCACCTGAGCTGCTAAATACGGTTTGAAAATTCCTTAGCAACCATTTTTAGAGTACATAAATGGCTTTTGTTATAAAGTTTATTAAAAGTTTTTAAAAGAACCTAAAAGTGAACACAAAATAATATGGAATAAAAAGAACAAAGAAAGAGAGAGAGAACAAACTTGCAAAAAGAAAGGATAAAAAGAAATAGAATTTCCAATTTCTTTTGCAGCAAATGCATATATGATTATAAAGTTATCTCTTACTTTGTGATTACAAAAATAGCTCATCTTCTATTATCCATTTTTTTCTAATCATCAAAACCACAAGTCTTAAATATATTTTTTTCTGTTTTATGCAAAAAGTCTATAAGGGTCTTCAGATCAGCCATAAATATTGATATGGTCCTTTATCTTTTTTACTGGAAATTCCATCAACTTCACCAATTGTTCCTTCATTGTTTGTAGTGTCTACCTTTGAGCATATAATAATCTTGCTGCAGTTTCATATATGAAAATAATGTTCCATGATTTTTTTCTAGTTTTTTTTACTTCCAAAAGAAAAGCATCTGATTTCAGCTGAACTTTAATTCTAAAAATCTTCTGAATTAATGAATATATTTGTGACCAATTTTTTTTGCCTTCTTTACAAACATGGTAAAATGTTGTTCACATTTCAAACAAATATTTAAAGTAGCTTTATGCATTCTAAATAATTTCGCTGGTGACTAATACTAACAATACAACATTTTATTAAAAATGTCCTTAAGGTTAGAACATAATGTACATTTTCAATTCTTTCAGCCACATAATTTCCCACTGTTCCAATTGTATATAATAACCAAAATTCTAGCCCATTTTTTCTATATTCTTTCACTTATTTTTCTGTTTCATATTTCAACAAAGTTTATACTTTTAGCAATAACATGCCCATCATTTGTACATAATTCTGTTTCAAATTCAGACTTACATTGTTCAAAACCATAAAATCTTTTATCTACTTTAATTTTTTCTTACAACTGTATATAAGAAAACCACTGGCAAAGCTCTCCCTCTATTGTGAATTTTTTTCTTGGTTTTAGTTTATAATCCCCTTGAGAAAACTCTACATCATAGTAAGTTCATGAACTCCATTCATCCCACCCCATATTGGAAATCTATAGTGTTTTCCTAACAAATAAGTTGGACTCGTATACAACAAAATCTGATGTCAGCTAAATAAAACTCTTAAAATTGCTTGCTCGGCCCATTAAATGAAATAACTAGGAACATTATTTTTTCTCTCAGGAGGTACAGTTTACCCAATAGGTTGAAGTAACTTAACATTTGTGGTATATACAGGCAAGATATTTCAGTTGGAAAGTTACTGGTCAGAGGTGAATGATTTTAAAGGCCTCGTTGTAAGGATGTTGTCAGTTTAATCATTTGGTGACTACACGCTGGTCATGAAGTTGCATCCTTGCCATCTTTCCAGTTAGCAAGAATAAAGGCCAACCTGTGGCTAATTAGTCAGATACAAATGTGATTCACTGACATTTTTGTTCCCAAAGTCTTAGTATAAAATGATTGTTGAGGAAATGACTCGTGATAAAGATAAGGAATGTGGCTATGCAGTTGTGAATTTTTCTTTACACCTGGAAGTATTATAAAACAGAAAAAAAAATCCATGCTCAGGTACATGTATTAGATTTTCATCTTCGGAAAATTAACATTCTGCATGAAGCACTTTGTCTTCTGCAAAGTAAATTAATATGTGTTTTCTTACAGTCTCTTCAGGCTATATGCTGTATTAATTATCTGGCTCTCAACAATGAATATGAACGGCTGCTATCCAATTGTTGCATCTATGGTAAGTAAGAACATTTCCATGGCTATTACTTTTAAAACCATCGTGTTAAGCTATTTTAAATACCAGTATTATCAAATGTGTTAATTTTCTTTATGTAACTCGTAATACATCTTTATAGGTACCTTGCTTTATTAAGCTTTTTTTTTTTTTTGCATTGCTGTAAAAATTGTACTAATTTTGCACTTATCGATTTCCATCAATTTAGATTATAGTCACTTTATCTGTTCTAGTGACTGAAGCATGAAACTGGGAATTAAGATATTTAGTATTATATACTTGCTTTGCTACTATTTGTTTTTTACTTTTTCGGTATGTCTAACTTTTGCAATCCTATTTAAATTTTTAGTCAATACTCTTTCAACAAGACTTTTTCCTATATACGATATGTGTACATTTAAAGCTATAAAATCAAACTATAAAATTAAGTGATTAGGTTCCTATAAAAATGTTGAAATGTTCTAATTTGGGTGGGTTGCAGATAAAATCTCTGCAAAAAAGGAATGGTTACCTACACATATTGAATATATGATGAGTTTTCAAAAATGAAATACTATATAAAGTTATGTTGATGCCAATATAAACAATCAAAATGATACTGGGAATACAGCACATCATTGGGTATTATTTGCTAATCTTGCGAGTCTACATTTGTGGATTTAAACTTCAAATAATAATTAATATAACATTCCTAGTTCTTTCCCAAATGGATTCAAATTATTATATACAGTCATGACTTTCAGAAAATATAAACATTATATTGACTTGTTTTCAATTGTTTAAAATTCATAGATTTATTCAGTATCAAAGCCTTCCTGCTTGCTTCAGATTGACACCAGTATAGCTGGTCTTATAACAGGTTTCAGTAGCAGAGTACCGATTTTCAGTATAATGAAATCTAAATTATGCCATTTGTGCCAATGGTTATAAAAATACATGGGATGTTCCAATCACTACCTCTGCCCCATATCAACGTTTTCTCTCATTTCCTGCCAATTGTCAACAAGAAAATGTATTGATCATTTCTTCATGATGCACCCTGGTTTTCAATGGGTGACACTAGTATATTTCCAGGGACAACCATTGGGTGCCTTGAAAAAAAAAGGTAGTTACAACAATATGATCAAAAGCCTTTTTTACATGAGTTGTGCATGGTGACATAAGGTATACTTAAGTGTGATTTTAATGCAAGAAAATTGGAGATCACGTGCATTAATTTTTCAAATAGTTGCTATTTAGCACAATTCAAATAGTATAACAGCTTTTCATCTGTAATGTAGTTGATAAGGAATAGAGCAACAGTGAGACCAAATCCCTAGAAATTTGTTTATTAGGTCTAGTCCTCATGCAATAGATACAATTTATCTGAAACACAGTGTGTTTCTTTGGATACAGGGTGAAATAAGGAAATTATCCATGAATGAAAAGAAATCATCACTAAAAAGCATAAACATTATTCAGGATGGTCATAAATAATTTGGAACTTCCAATTAGAACAATTTTTTATGATAATTATGTTCTGCTTGTTTCATCATTTCCCATTACTATAAAATTTAATCTAGAATTCCTTGCTGTCTCCGGGCATGTATACTATTATAACAAAATAGTTTCTTTAGGGAGGTTGATCACTCATTTCATACAGAATCTAATTACACATGCAACAAGATTGAATTTTGCATTGCTGTTTTCTGCTAAATATTTTTATCCTTTGAGATGAAGTCATGTTTAAGACATGTCATCACAGAAAAGAAGGCTTATAACTCAAATGTAACAGAAAATGGTTTGTATGTAAAAGTCCCAGATTTAATCCTTGGCATCTCCTGGAGATACAGGGAAAGGCTCCTTTATCTGAAGGCTTAGCTAGAAATTATATTGATTGCTATTTTTATACACATGTTGGAAAAATGTCAATGGCATATTGACATGTACAGTATATGAAAAAATTCAGGATCAGAGCAAAGGATGTTCCTGTAAAAATAAGTGTAAAATAAAAAACAATAATCCAAATCCCAATGGAATATAAGATATACCAAGAGTATTCCTACTTAAATAAATAGGCAAAGAAAACCAATATTGTACAGTCTTCCACTTTCTCTAAATAGAGCTACTACACTATGCCTAAAAAATGTAGCTGATTCATACATGGGGGAGAGGGAGACAGAAAATATTAGTCATTTGATGCCATTTGGTGGCATTTTACAGCCCAGAGATGGTAGCTACGGGTCCAGTCTAAACAATAAAGACAGTATTTCATAAAGGAAGAAACAAGCAATTAGTTGGAGACAATTTTCTCATGCAAAATCCTAGTTGACTAATAATAAAATAGAAAACAGTGTCTAGACACATGGAAATGACAATGCTTAAATGTTATACCGCCGGAGCATTTAGCAGCAACAAAAGTATTTTTCTTGAGAGTTCAAAATGGGACATTTAGAAAACAAACGGAAGGGCAAACTACTGCTAAACATCCAGTCTGTCTGTGTATTTATGCTGATTTTATGATGCTATCTTAAAATCTAATTACTAGGATGAAAGGCTGCATGCTCCCAATTGAATTGGTTTGTGATGGATTTCATCTTCCCAGGTGGGAACTCTTGCAAGCACGCACAATCAGAAATTTCTCATTTCCAGAACGACAGAATTTCCTTTGGGCTAATCGTGGGGAAATGGTTTTAAAATGGGGTCTTCCAAGAATTATTTTGACATAGACCAAATATCTTAACCTAATTTGTTATACTTGAAAAGAAACTCATTTGTTTCATCTTATGGAAATTTATTTACTTATTGAATTCAATTTGGGCAGTTCACAATTTTAGATGATATGAAAGAACATGAGAAGAAGCAACAAATAAGCCCCAAAAAGAACAGAAGAGAAAGAAAAAGGAGCAAGCAAACTCAGCAAACATTTCACTACCTCATATCCAAAAGAGGTGCTCCAGACAGGCTAGCCTAAGACCTAGGAGGACAGCCAGGTTTTTATGGCCCTCCAGAAGGTCAACAGGGCAGGTGTTTCCTGATCCTCATAAATGACATTGTTTAACTGAAGAAACCTGGAATGTACTAATCCTATCAGCTCAGGTCAACCAGGCAGATATCATGGGAAGTAAGTAATCCCTCAAAAAACCCAGGCCCTACACATGTAGGTGTTTATAGGTCATAACCAGCACATGGAATGGCACCCAAAGCAAACTGGCAACCAGTGCAGCAGAAATGTTCCATGAGCATACCAAGGCATTCTCATCACTGCATGCACTGTTGCATTCTGGCCGAATTGAAGCTTCTGGATGGTCTTTAAAAGTTTGAGACATTGCAATAGTAAAATCCTAAGGTTACTAGGACACAAGTGACTGTTTAAGGTTAATTCCAGTTTATAAAAAAGATTGAAAACTGAAATAGAAATGAAAGAAATTTAGAAACATAAAAGAGCATTTATATTTTAATTAATAACATGTACTGGCTATTCACATGAATCCACTAATACAACTTTTACACATCAATTAAATTTTACTTAAACATTTTCTGTTTGGAAGAATTATCCCTCTTTTTTTTTACCAGCATATGAATTCATGATCAAACAACATTCTTTGCAGATATCCTTTGCAGATAAAAATAAAAAAGCATTAAATGCATTTATGACTGTGTTCTTCACATGCACTCCAAAACTTTTAAACTTTTACATTACATATACCACAATTATTTGCATTACTTATCTTCTGCCTGTTAGCAAAATAAGGTGTTTGGCCAAAATGCCTCAGGGAGGAAGAACCTATGAATATGCTATTGGCACAAGGCCCTATACTTTTAAGTTATAAATTCAGAACTATCTTCAGTGCTATGACAGAGTTAAACCTGGCTCTGCCAACTGAGATGGGGCCCTGATGAGGGCATCTGACTTTGAAGATAGTAGATTAGGAGAAGATACCACCTCCACCCCATTTTTGTAATAGTCCCATTTACCTAAACTTATTAATGTTAATGTTTTAATTTTTAATCCTGAAGGTTTTTAAAAATATTTTAATGTTCTTATCATTTTATATTGTGTTTTTATATTGTTGTAAGCTGCCCTGAGCTGCTTGAAAGTGAGATGGGCACCATATAAATGAAATAAGTAAATAAAATAAACACCTCCTAATCTCTAAGCATGATGAGTACAATTACCCCAATTGCTTGCTGCATTAACATTGAAGGTGCTTGGGTTTGTGTCCTGGCCATACCTGTCCATGTGTCCTGTTTTTTACAAAGGATATTCCCTCATTTAATCTTCTGTTTGAAAGTTGCCTGTTCCAACATTTGTTTAAACATCTAGAATGATAAAGAGAAGAAACATAGGCCTGGACCTTGTCTTTCAGGAGGACTTGGGAAATAGGCTCAGATATACCTGATCGTGATCTTCCTCATTTTGAACTTCTAACTAAAGGATGGATGCCAATTGAAAAAAAAAATTTTGTGCATAAGAAGTTGTCATATACAACCAGATGCTCCTCAGACTGCTGGTGACAACAGCAGTCCTGCATCATTATGATCCAAGCTCCATCCTTTTTATACCTGTGTTGTGGTATCTCATGCATGTAACAAAAGCAACAGCACTTGCCTCATCACAATGATGCAGTACTGCTTTTGTCCAAATTTTGACTAGTCTTGGCAAAATTTTGTATGCAAAATATATCTTCTCTTTTATCCTTTTCTTCCCTCGTGGGAAAGGAAATGTAAATACTTCCATCTGTTCGTACAATACTGTATATGTTTCTGAGTTGCATTGGAAATACTCTGGCCAGTTCTTGGGCAACGCTTGACTACAAACAATCTGTTTCCAGGATCTCATTAAACACTCCTTTTTCTTCCTTCTTGCTTGCACTGCATTCTCAGCAGCCCCACTGTAACTACATCCAATGTCTCTATGCCATGCAACATTTGTCCTTAGGAAACTAAAAGGGTGGTACACTCATTTTCCTGGTGCATGATTTCCAGGATTTTCAAAGTCTGAAGAAGAGATTGCAGTTTGCCTGGGTCTCCCTGAAATTGAGAGCCAACCTTCCAGGAAAAATTACTTCTTAGTATCTCTTAGCTTTTTGCCTTCCAAGAAGAAGTCCGAATATGGCAACTGGACACGAAAATAATGGTTGCTTTTCCTTCAAAACTGTTGGGCCTCAAATGAAATAATAAATGTTAGGCAGGTATATGTGTATGTGTGTAAGAAAGGGTGTAAATTACTAGTTTTGAATCACAGGAAGTTGTACAGCATGTACACAAATAATACATATGTCCTGAGCTTTCGGAAATCCCAAAGACAGAATGGAATGACCCACGCAAAAAAGTGCCTGTTCTGTATTCACAAGTTGTGGCTATGTGAAGCTGATGTTCCTAGCAATAGGATTATTGCTAGATTATTACTCACATTCCCCACTCCTGTCCCGCAACTGTTTTCAAGGAAAGCCAAACAACAGAACATAATTTGTTTACAATATTATTATATTACAATCTGCATTATCGGTAGTCTTGCCAGAAAAAACTGTGCTAGCATTGCCAGATATTAAAACTCAACAGTATCCCTGCTCTAGTGATACTGTAATACACATTCATCCATACCTTTTACAACCTAAATAGGTTTATCTATGCCTATGCATGTGAGTATGTCTGTCCTACACATATAAATTGGTAACTTATTTTCTCATCTATTTTTTAATCTTCAGAGGAATAATCCCCTTTGTATGAATTGCCAGCTGCCCAGGAAATCTGATTGCCTCCTCCTCCTGCTGAATGGCTGCCTAGCCAAGATGGATGGATCTGAAGAACTAGCTTTGTTCAGTTCCTTTCTGGAGAATTCTGATATTAAAAGATCCTTTCGAAATGGAGTTGGATCAGGAATTAAAAAAATATCCTTTCGTAGAGCCAAGTCATAAACAGCTGCCTAAAGAAATACTCACAAAGCAGAATCTATAAAGTTAAAATGGATGTGCTTAAAATTGTTTGTGGTGCATGAATGAATCCAATAAAACAAATGTATCAGTTTGTTCATAATGAAAGCAGATGTTTACTTGAAATGGTACTAGCCAAATGAAGCAAATGTGGTCATTCAAAACATTTCTAAGTTAGAATATCATACAATTCTGCATTTATGTAAAAGTGATTTTCAGCTTAATTCCACCTGTCACAAATTTTATCTTTACCTCAAAATCGAGGCCTTCAGGATCTCAAGACGAGATAAAATTTATTTGATCCTCTGATTTCATTTCTACAACAGTCCTATGAAGTTGGTTGTGCTGAACGATAATATAGGGACTTACAGTGAAGTTTATGATTGCCAGGCTGAACATGGTTTTTCCCAATTCTAGTCACACCCTCTAACTCAGGGATGCCAGCCCATGGGCCAGTTGCATCATGCAGAGGCTGTGCCCACCCCAGCTCCGGCAATGCAAAAAAAGTCGTGATATGTTGCGATACATCACGTGATGCAGCGAGTTTGACACCCGTGCTCTAACTGATTTCACATAAATGGATCTATATGGGGTAGAAAATACAAAGTAAAGGAAGTGAGTTTCCAAAAACTAAGTTTACTATAGGAATAAAAGATTGTGGACCATTCAGTTAGAACACTGATACATGTAGTAGATGTGTCCTCAAAAGTATTTCATGCAACTTATGAATTTTAACAAATATGTTAAAATGGTGGTAGAATAGAAATGATTCTGTTTTTTTCTTTAGGTCTTTTTTTTGGCAGTATAAAAAGAGACCTGGTTAGCTGTAAACTTTATAAACATTGTAGATTTTGTCAACAAGGAAAGGTCATCTGCTAAAATATATTATTTGTGTGACTTTTACCTTGTGGCCATTTCCTTAGAGAAATGATACAACAAACACAGCATGGTTGCATAGAGATGTTATGAAAGCATTTATTTGATGTGGCACATTTTGCTACAAAAATATGGAATAATTACAATACTTATTTTAAGTGTAAAAAAATTAAATGTTATTGGTAAAAATATTTGGACACTGAAAAATAACATTTGTTTGTTTGGATTCAGTATAATCAATCAATGTTTTATATGTATAAAGATAATGTATGTGTTTCTGGACATTTTGATGCGGGAGGGTTGTGGCAAAACGAAAAGACAACAGTTTGTACATTTCTGGTACATTTGAAGTCAGTACAGCAGGATAATACAGTTTTCTGTAATTTGACTATTCAGTTTTGACTAGCAACGGCTCTGGAGGTTTACGTTAAGATTAGAAATATATATAAAATATATATTAAAGAATTGTTTTCTAATCTTTCAGTTTGACCAACTAGTGATCTGAGGGAACTGTCCACTGGTAGTTTATATCAGTATCTTCCTCTGTTGGTGCAAATCTGTTGAAAGAAAAATCAGACTGACTGAGATGAGAGTGATTCATTCTGATTTATGGATTCATATTTGCCATTAGAAAGTGCTGCTTTTACCACCCTGGAATTATTTTCTGGCTATATTTAATCCTAATGGGCTACAATTCAAACTCCAAAGGTCAGCTTAACTTTATTTGCCAGTAGTGCTCCTTTTGGGTATGTGTAAAAGTGAGTTAGGCAAATAGGTCTGAGGCGTATATATGAGAGATTGATTCAAAGTTATAAGCGTAATGGTCAGCCTAAGAATAAATAAATAAATCCGCTGTCCAAGTAGCATTTAATCAACACTTGTTAAACAGGAGAGTGCTGATTTTCCCCCAACTTCTTTTAACATCAGAGCACATTTGTTCCATTTTAGGTATGTTCTTCTTGCAAAGCAGCTATTCCAAATGTTCCCTTCTTTTATGGTTTGGGAGCACAGATAGAGAATATTAGCAAATTGCACTCCTTATTTTCCATTTACACCATGACTGAGTTCATATTGGCAGTGAGTACTATTTTGCTGCCCTTTGAAATCTGTGTTGTAGTTCTTTTATAGAGTAGCTCTAGTAAATCTCTCTTCTATAAAGGCATTAGGCGGTCCTGTTTATTTTATAGAAAACATAAAACTCTTCCACTTGGGTTATATTCTACAACTTCATGCTGGGCAGGACCAGAACTTGACAGATCATGAATATGGCAACCAACCTAAGACATCTCTGCACTGCCAAGTTTCCTCATTGTGAGTATGGACCACCCAACATTTCTGGAGGCCAGGATCACAGGAAGTCATCTTCTTCTCACCCTGAGCCAGTGGTGGGATTCAAATATGTGAACAACCGGTTCTCTGTGTGGATGCCGCTTCCGGAGGTCCATTCTGGGCCTGGGCAACGAAAAATTAGCTACTGGTTCTGCCGAAGTGGTGCAAACTGGCTGAATCCCACCACTGCCCAGAACCCACTGTTGAAGTGACCTCTGCCTGTGTCTTCCTGCTCTGAGTTGAAAGTAGTCTTGTATATCTGTTCCATATGCCTGCTGAGCTTTCCTTCATTCTTTCTGGTTTGATTAGCATCATTTTTCAGCTGTTCGTCCAGAAAATCTGGTTTTGCTCTATTATATGGCTTTCTCCCTGATTCAAACCCAGCAGAAACTTTTCTCAAAATTATATTTTTCTTTAGCTGGGCCAGCTGCTTTTCCTCTGGGTCATTTTTGTTTTTAAATAAAGCTGCCAATGCACTTCCTTCTCAGTCCCACCTTCTTGCCAGGTCTCAAGCCAAGAATATTCTGCCCATCAAGCAATTATTGTAACCATTCTACCACTGAGAAAGGCCTGTCATAGAAGCATCAGCAGATACCCTTGAGGAAAAGCTGAGAGGAAATGCAAGAAAGGAATTTGCATTTTAAGTCTGGTTGGTGAGCTATGTTACATGTGCATTTTGATGCTTTAACTTCGGGTACATAAAATTAAACTGAACTTTGTGTACATTTAATTTAAAATGACTTTGTATGACTGCATCTCTGTGTTATGCATAATTTATGTATATTATCCAGTATAATAAATATCAGAGTGTGTGTATCTGTGCATGCAATTAGAAATGGAAAGGCACAGCAGCAGAGCTATGGGAGGATAGGATAAGTGGCTCATCCACAGCACATCTATAGGGTTAAATCATACCCAAGGCCTCAGGAGAATGTTTTCGTAAGATCTTGGTAATTGCTCATTCTTTTTTAAATAGTGTTAAGCCTACTTAGGGGTTTATGCAGTTCTTTTCATTTTTGCATTTGTATCCCTTTTTTAAGTTTTCCTTTTTTAAAAAAAACAACAACAACACTGCTGCAAAATGGCCCTTTCCACCTCAAAATGCTGACTCGATGCACTATAGTCAGATCATTGTACACGGCGTTATTCAAAGCCAAAGATGCACGGAAAGCTGCAGGTCGGCTTAGCTTCCTTAAGAATAGATTGTGCTCCATTCTCTCGCCTTACAATGTACTACAGCAGTTTTAGACATTAGGGTATGTCAACCCTGCAAATCACAACTTATGATCAGTAATTAAAGTGTTATTTATATACTATACTTGGGAAATGAACTGCATTTATCTTCACTAAGATGTCAGAAGGAAAGGAAGGGTGTAATACAGCCCAGGCTGTTATCGCTTTCCCTCAGAGAACAGTTTTCAAATATTGTATTGCTTTCCAGAGCACAGTACCGATCAATGGACAATGGCCTTATGGGATTAAGCTCTACAACCAGTATAGCCTTATGGGATTAAACTCTGCAAACATCTGGAACAATGTCTTTATGGGATTAAATTCTGCAACTAGCAAGAAGATAGCTTCTTCTCTTCCCTTGCTTGAAAATTTCCCCCTGAGCTCCTTCAGTTTTCTTTCTTGCTTCTATAGATTACACTTCTTCAGAAAGAGCCTACTTTTGTATTCAAAGAAACACAAAATCTGCAGCATTCAGAGACTTTTATGATGGGGAGAAATACATCACTTGACGTGATTAGATCTTGCTGCGGAGCAATTAATTTCACTGATATATTGATGCAGGGAGTGAATTCATTTTAGCATGAAAAGAAATATTCCAACCACTTTATCTGCACTGTTAAATTGTAGTTTCCTTCTTTTTTTTTGCTGCAGAATTATTTATATGCTCCATTGACATATGTGAGAAGATTTTAAAGATACAGTTCAGTTGCTTAGATCTGGCAGTTTCTGATCGGAAGTTATTTATTCTCATTCTTGGGAATGTTCTGCCTGCAGAATTTGCTTAATAAACTATGTTTTCCTTGAGGTCTTTCGTAGAGCTTCATTTTGCATTATGTAATAGCTTCTTATAAAAAGTGGGTTGCATTGTGTGTTTCAGACTTCAGACTTCCCTCCTACCAACTGCAACAGAGGGATATCTTGCTGTTTTTAAAGGACATGGCATATGGTATAAAAAAAACCCTTTCAAATACTACATCAGCTCTTCAAGAATAGTCTCAACCCACAATTCCCAAAACATTTCTGACATTTGCTAGATTTATCTGAATTTGTTAAATATAAATTAAGGATATTTCCTTTATGTGCACACTACTTACTCTGGATCAGATTGAACACTTTATTCCTTGTGTAACTTAATTTACATCTCCTGAACTTAAAATACAGATTGAAATGAGTTATCTTTCAAAGTACACACTTTATCAATACAAAAGTTAGAAACCAATGCGCCTCTCTTAAAGGACTATCTATACACAAATATATGTATCAATAGAAGAGAATATTTGTAGCTCAGGGGATCCTTGATACAAAGAAACATCGTCGGTGTTGGTGATGTTACCTAGTTTGGTAAAGAAACATCTGTAAGAAAACATCCATGCTCAGAGAGCACCAAGGACCCCACAAAAATATGTTTGGGGAAAATACATATAAATGAGATGACTGAACTCATTCAAAAGCACAGAATAAGATAATCCTTCCATTTGTAATAGTAATCATTTCTGGATTGTTCTCAGTCTGGAGCAGGAAATTGCTTTGAGCTTTTTAAAGGAATA